ACCCTCTGGGTTCGTCCATTTAACCAATTACAGATCCACCTCACCATAGTTTTGCCTAGCCCACATTGGACTTGTTTCCTTGCCAGAAGGTCATGGAGGACCTTGTCGAAGGCCTTACTGAAATCCAGGTATGCTCCATCCACGTCATTTCCCGCACCTACCCAGCTTGTAACTCTATCGAAAAAGAGATCAGATGAGTCTGGCATGACTTGTTTTTCATAAATCCATGTTGACTATTAGCAATGACCGCATTTGTTTCTAAGTGTTTGCAGACCATTTCCTTAACAATCTTTTCCAGAATCTTGCCCGATATAGACGTGAGGCTGACCGGACGGTAGTTGTTTGGGTCATCCTTTTTTCCCTTCTTGAAGATTGGGACCACATTGGCCCTCCTCCAATCTGCTGGAACTTCTCCCGTTCTCCAAGAACTCTCAAAGATGGTTGCCAATGGTTCCGAAATGACTTCCGCTAGTTCCTTCAATACTCTGGGGTGTAGTTGATCTGGCCCTGGGGACTTGAACTCATTAAGAGCGGCCAGGTATTCCTGGACGACTTCTTTCCCAATTTGGGGTTGGATGTCCTCCAACCCCAATCTCTTCTCATCTATCTCTTGACTGATCTCTTCTCATCTATCTCTTGGCTCATTATCTATTTTCTCTCTTGGCTTGTCATCTATTTGCTCATTAATTTCTGCAGGTGCATCCCCACACCCCTCATGGACATTATCATGGGAAACATGGGATCTCCTGGTCATTCTCTGCATCAATATCACTGCTATCTTGAAACTCATCTTGAACCTCATTAACACCATTCCCTATATCCAAAGCACCCTGATCCTGAAACACAATCACAGGCTGAACTCCAACAAGTACTTTATGTTGAGTTATACCTGCAATCTCCTGCAAAGAATCGTTGCCTTGTCGTGGTGCTGGAGCTTGAGCACCTCGATGATGCCATGAGTGAAACTGTGAAGGGATACCAAAGACAGAAAGGTCATGGCAGAGAGATCAGACCAAATACGATCCCTGAAGAAGGTAATGGCAATCCACCCCAGTATTCTTGCCATGAAAACTAAATGGGTCTGTACAACCAGAGATATGTCAATATACCATTGGAAGATGGGACTCCCTGTTGCATCCCAGATCAGGAAACGAGACCATAAGATTCAATCCACCACACTGGACTGTGAGAAAAACAATCCTTTTTTATTGATGAAAAATGGTTACAAAAGAAAAGTAAATGCAAAGTCAAAAAGCCACAGTAGAAACTCAGCAGTCAGGAAAAATCTTTGAACTTGAGCAAAATTCCAAAAACAACAATACAGACACCAGGAACCTGTTAGCATCACTAACCATACTTGAAAACTAGAAGCCTCTGGGAATGCAGGCCATGGAACGCAGGAAAACTGCCAAGGTGCTGCCTCAGTCTAAAACGTTGCTTGATCTAATGAGACAACCGGGGGGAGGCCCCTTAAACCAAAGAAACTATTTCTTGAAACGCCTCCAGACTTTGAAGCCTCCCTCTCCCGTAATCCATTTGACCTTCGTAGAAACCGTGATTCACTCCTGTTTTTCCAAATCTGTTCCCTTCGGTCCTCATTAAAAAACCCAGGTGTGATTCCCTCTGGAGAGCTATCACGGCCTGATTCCAAAACATTCTCATCAGGCTGTTCAGTTTCACTTTCCCCGCCACTGACTTCAGCATCAAGGGTTTCAACACTATCAGGGAAAGATACATGTTCAGTGGCTTGCTCAGTTGCATCAGGAAATACACTCAGAGAATCAGGTTCACACAGAGATTGAGGCTCAGTTTCACACGGAGGTGGCTGAACCCCAACACTCCCAGGTTGGAAAGATGGTCAAAATGCTACTGGGGAGGAACAGAGGGTAAGTTCAACTAGCCCCAGATGTGGAGAAGATAATGATGCTGGGAAAAAAATGGAAGGAAAAAGGAAGAGGGGCAGACCAAGGACGAGATAGATGGATGGTATCTTTGAAGTGACTGCTTGACCTTGAAGGAGCTGGGGGTGGCCACAGCCGACAAGGAGCTCTGGTCCATGAGGTCACAAAGAGTCAGAAGCGACTGAATGAATAATAATAAAAAACACCTGCAATCCATCTTATACAAAGGCTAGCTTCTTCCAGGCAATCAACCTTTCCCAAAAATGGTAGCTAAAATCCTGCATTGCATTGGTAAATGTAATAGAAATAGCTAATGCTATGTCTATTCCTCTTTCCTTGAACATATTGGGGATTTTCCAAAAATGTTTCTAAACTGTGGATAAAGCATGCAAATGAATTTCCCTGAAAATAGCTAATAGACCATTGCTGAATTCTGTGTTTTGTATAAGATTCTGTGGTGTAGGGCAAAACTATACAAGAACCACACTAAATCAAAACTCAAAGTAAACGATGCTTATAGATACAAACTAAGTACAACAATTTTATTTCACTCCTAGATTCTTAGAGTTCCCAAACTATGTTGTAAGGGCAATAGAGGTTAACCGTTGCCCTCCAGCAATTGGCATTTATTAGCATATTTTAAAATTAAATATGGATAATTAATCTATGACTAATAATTATTGATGTTCCAGTTCTCACATCATATCACTTTGCTAATCTGGTGTCTGGAAGAAAAATCCATATGTCTACAGGTCATGCTTTGACATTCCTTGATATGTAC